TAATAAACAATAGAATTGGAAAAGACGTCAAACACATCCAGCACATCAGCTTACACTTTTGTGAAATAATATTTATGGTTTGATTACTTTATATTAGGCTTAATAAATCTTTTGTGTCCTATGAAATTTGTACTGATGACTTTTGCCATGATTCATCTTTCAGGGAGACGTGACTTTGAGCTATCTGCTGTAGATACTTTGGTTTGGGGGGGTGGGGGTGGGGGGCTGCTGTTTCTTTTTTTGTACTCCAGTTTTCCAGTTTCCTCAAATTTGTTGGGAACACACTGCACGACATGCTCATATATGCCAGAAAAACCTTATAAGACATTCAGAAAACCTCAAAATTTCTCAATAAGTGTCGCTCCTTTGAAACAAAATATAAAAATATGGCTGGTGGCTCAAAACTTTTCCACAGCACTGAATCAGTCCAGTATTATGAAAATCACTGCCATCTATGCCTTACATTGTGTTACAATATAAGGTGTGTACTTCATGTGCTTACTCTATGTGGAGAGTGTAAATTTGCACGTTGCGATCATGCAGGAGTCGCTTTCTGGGTGAATCCCAGGTGCAGCTGACAGATACCATGTCAAAGGTTACACAGCTGAGGTTTCTGGGTTTCTCGGGTGGAACTACAATATACACACATATACATATACAGTTATACATGTACAAGTTCTGCATTAAATTAATAAAGAATACAAAAAAAGAAAGATTCAAACTTACAACTGATATAGTTCGAGACAGGAAAACTTTTGCCTGTTGCATCATCGCAGGTCAGTAACAAATGCTTAATTATTTCTTTTGGGATAGTGAGGTTGTTTACAGTAATAGCTTTTACTCCGCCTCCAATGCTCAAAAGACGGTATTCCTCGCCCCTGAAGGTCATTCTTTTAACGTTCACACCTGTTGGGGGAATACAGCAGAACATGGCACTGCTGCCCTGCCTCAGCACACGGCTGGAGGGGAAAATGTGGATCTTATCGTTTGGTTTGAATCCTGCAAGACAAAGTAAAGTTACAGTGCAGTCTGATGAAGAGCTGTTCAGAATTTCATGCATAATCCCTTGGTATGTTCTAGGGTTCTTAAAAGGGGAACAAAAATTGTATTGTTGCACTGACAGAGACACAAAAAACAAAGGGGATTCAGAAATGCCTCTGCTTTCTTTGCACCCATGTTCATTAAGGTGGATTAAGGCTGAGTGGCAAACTGTTCTGTGGTCTGACCAATCAAAGCTTTCAGACTTTTGTTTTCTTTTTTGGAAATGATGAACATTGCATCCTCCAGCTTATTGAGGAGAGAGGCCATCTGATTTGTCATTAGTGTGTCGTTCATTCACCATCCTTAATGAAACAGGGTAACTGTGCGAATGCTGTTTGTTGATTACAGTTCAGCGTTTAACACAATAGTGCCCTGCAG